TGTGTGTGATCGAAGAACATCTTCGGCATGTCTATAAACAGAAAACAGTAAATTACGATACGAGAATAAGATGTGTTAAGAAATAAAACGAAAGAGTTCTCACCATCGGAAAATATTCACTTGTACGGTAAATGGCCACTTGGTCCTCTTCGTGGTAAAGTTGGGGAGGGAGATCCTTCTCCCTCCCAAATGTTCCTACAAAACACAAACGCAGTGAGAAAACAAGAAGTTTATTCATTTATTACTTAAGGTCAATATTATTACCTTAAACAGACAGCCTTTCTTCCCGAACAGTGTTATCAGAAGAGCGAAGGACCTGACCTAGCCAAGGCTAAGCTAACGAACCCTAACCGAAAGCTCAATCCTCATAACAGCTGTTTGAGAAGAAAGGTCGGCCATATGTCGCGTCCGGTGAAGAAACGTGTCAAGTCCGTGGGTCACGTCCGGGTAAAAGAGGTCACGTCCGTTAAAAGATGTCATGTCCGGGTGAAAAGTGTCGAATCCGGTAAGAAAGTCGCATCCGGGTGAAGAAGAGGAAGTCGAAGAAGATCACCGCCTAGGCCAAGGCAACCGCAGCCGTCCGCAGCAACAAAACCACGGACAGCACGGTCCCTCAACTTCGGGGGCTCTCTCCTCCGACTCCTCCCCGTCCCGACTTCGGCAAGGCGGTGGCGTCGCCGTCGCGGACGAACGGGCAGAACACGACCAAACAGAAAGTGTCAGCTCGGACGAGCTGTCACTTTCGACATCCTCCACAGCAAGGTCTGTGGCCGGATGACCCCCGAAGACCTCGGCCAAGCGCACTGGACCCAGGGTGTAGCGTCGCATCATCCCGACTCCGGGAGGATGCCACGCCACGCGCACTTGGCGAAGGTCTTCTTCACCCGCTGCCTGTCGCTCGTCGAGCCCCCGCTCCTCCAACGGCACGGAACGACAGACTCGTTCCGCGTCGTCCGAGGAACCCTCTCCCTCCGGCGCCACCGCCTGCCTCCGCCGGAACCGCCTCCAACAACGCACCAACGTCTTCATCCTGTAAAAAAGAAAATTTGCAATTAGTCCAGTGAAAACAAAAGCTTAAATTAATGCTTAAATTCTTCCGAGTAAAAGCAAACTGCTCACCGCAGCCGCCTTTTTAAATCTAAAAGATTCGAATCCGAAGCGCAAACGGTCGACCATCGAACGATGTGCCGAGATGTCTTCTGGGACCGATTCTCCAAGTAATATTAAATAAATTCTTACGTCTAGGATCAATAAGGACTAAGACTTACCTAAAAAATCTTCAATCTTCTCTGTAAAAGGCACGAAACCGCAGAAAACAGCACGCAATCCAAGAGCGAAAGAAAAGCACGTCCGACAGCAACGAGAAACACAATCGAACTGCGATTCGTCATGTGTGACGTATTTCGAACAAACGTTAAAAAACGCGTCAACAATGTTCGAATTTCGTAAAAATTAGAATTTTTAAAAAAAATAAATTTTTAAAATTTTTTTCAATTAATTAATTTATAATTATTTTTCTTTTTTAAATTTGATAAATAAATTATCTTCTGCATTTACATGGTGCAGAATGTCGACCGTGGAGAGGTAAAAGACGATCTTTTTAAATTCTACGTCTCGAGGCTTGACCATCTCCGAAATTCGTTCGAATAAATATCTTTTTCGTCCATTTTCGACCATGGCATGAAATAAATCAAATTCTTAGGATTTCGCCCAATATTATTTTGCTTTTCGGAAGGATTCCTCGGTCGCCGTCGGGGTTGCGGGTTTCGCGTAGGCCTATTAATCAAACTGGATAAAGTTAATATTAAAAATACCGAAAAACCTTTATAATACGGCCGAACGAAAATTAAGTCCGAGACAACGGGGAAATCGACACAGAGGATAAACAGACTGAGCTAGGGGGAAACGATCATTCTTTCTCCTTGAATTTCTGACTTTTTAAAGGATCTCTCCCCTAAATTCTTAATGTGATCGCTTAATCAATTTGACACGTCCGCAAGTGTTGATCCAACTTTGAAACTTTCGCTCGTACCTCTCGTGCCATGATATTTTATTTCCTGACCGCTGAGAATTTTTTTTACTTACAACGCGACAATTCTGCTTTGGGAGGAATGCTACATTTATTTCCAAATTTTGTCATTGTCGTCCGTCCGCATGTCTTAACCTCGAGAACGGAATTATATGAAATCCGAGACCAGATGTGGAAACTTTAGAGACAGGAGGCCCCAATTAACTATATATGATCTTCCGATTCAAACCGAAAGTCTTGTTTTTTTTTTCAATTCAAAACGTCAGTTAACGGAAAAGTGTGATGTACAGGGGCAAGCCACTACTAGCTTGAGATATTTTGAATTAAATGATTTCAAAATATGATTAAGAATTGCAGTCCGGCATTGTGACCGTGTCACAATAGACAATTGCTCGTAGTTATCGTTTGTTTGTGAAAATATTTACGATGAAAACTAAATTTTGATCTTTGTCGTGTTATGAAGCAGAATATCGAAGTTAAAATCCTTCTGAGAGGTAAAAAGGAGTTAATAATTGCGAGAAAAGGCATTTTCCCATCAAAAATAAACAAAGAAAACATGCCAGTAAGTGCAAGAGACTGATATGTAGAAACTACACCATTAAGATGTGTACAAATTGTGCACTATATCCATCATTGTGGATAACAAAAGTATATTAAGACGAACTAACCTTTTGTTCGTTATGTTGGAGACACTGAAGCCGTGAGCGCGAATAGGGACCAATCCGAAATAGGCGAAATAAAGAGAACTGTTTTAATCTCGGTCTCTGTTAATTATCCATAATTAAGAAAGACGTGATAGATATCACTAGTCCGACAATTGGAAGAAGAAACCTTCACTTATAACTTTTTGTACGCTCTCCAGCCTGACGAAATAGAGTCTGTCTCCTTGAAGTTAACTACGAAGGCTTTGTACATTTCTAACCTTTCAAGTTGTTTCGGCCGAAGCACTATTTTCTCTCGATGGCGTCTTTTTTATTTCTAAGCAGTGAGGAAATTGTAGGGTTCCTCTAAAACCCTACAATTATCTATCTCACTCCTTAGTGAGATATCCTATCTCACTCCCTCACAATTATCTATCTCACTCCTTATTAGAATTCTATTACATACGGCAAAGCCCTCTGTTGACCCTTATAGATGAAACAGAGGGCTTTGCCGTATGTGATAGAACTGCCTCGGCTGTAACATTTGCAAAGAATATATATTTACAAACTGTTCGGGATGAATATAGATACAGTATAGTAATCCACATAAATGTTACCTTAGGCCTATAATCATACAATTTAGCAAAATCGCTGTAGAGGAAATTGCCGTCAACTTTGATGTTATAAACAATCCACGTTTATATCTAATATATTTTAAATTATCGTCATGTTACTGAACGCCGTTTAGTAAAATCGTTATAAAAAGTTTTAATGAAAGCAATTAATTCTTCCATTCACCTCATCAAGTACGGTCGGATCCTGTTCGAATAGTTGATTTTCTACTTTAGTCATTTTTTTTTTTAAGTTTTAATTGATTGGCATAAATTTGAGCTTTTGTAATTCTGAGTAACGTTTTGAATAAAATTCATATCTTTCCATGCAATTTTCTACTTATAAGCATAGAATTAAGCCGTGAAACCGAATTAGCTCGATGGGAAATCTCCGTGAACTTTGACCTATCGACCCGGAAGTTTAGCTAGTATTACACTGATAACGAGAAAGGCTTAAGTTTAAAATTTGAGCTTTCTAAATTCAGTAGTTTTTCTCTACGAGCGTCTGCAGTGCCGGATGAAGAAAAATGAGAAGAAAATGCAGCTTTTTTGTAGATTTTTGCACTTTTCGATTGCTTATATTTTGGTAACCGCTTTATACAAAATCTTGAAATTTTGCACACTACCCAAGAAAACAAAATTTTTTTTTTTTCGAACGACACGAGATATTCGAAATTACTATAGGTGTTTGGGGGCGGAAAAGTCGGCACCTCTGATTTCTGTTTATGTAGTCAGTCATAGTGACTTTTTTACATTACCGCCACTCCTGATATAAGACACTAGATTAATAGATCGAATTTCATCTGTTATTATTAAATACAGAACGTCCTCAATATATGTCATACTTACTGTAAGTTCCTAAAAATGCGTAGTGAACAAAATGGTACATCGTACATCGAATAACAATTTTTCACCGAAATAATATATTATGTAAGCGATAATACAGTATATAAACTACTATAATATTTAACAATTATTCTAAAATGTTTGTAATATGCATCATTTAAGTGGTTTTAATTAACCCTGTTTCTATTACACCAATTTACATCATATGTAAAGTTTTTCAGAATGGTTTTCTTTTCTCTTCACCTAATTTTAATTTTAAAAAATGCTTAATCTAAGCTCCTGTTTGCAGTTTGTATAATAATGTAAAAGCGCATGTGAATATAGTAAACTAAATAAATTCTTATTTTAACAAGTATCTCCAAGTTTCTCAAATTTTGCATTTCAAAACTAAATAAATTTAACCTCGCACTTTATTACACGAACCATTGACATAGCTTTTTATCTTGAAACCTACTTAGTTAACGCCTTCAATTAGGCTATGTGTCAAGAGTAACTTCTAAATGAAAAAATACTGTATTTGAAATTATGAAAGGAATTCTGTGGCTCGAACTCGAAGGAACGTGCAGTTTAAAGCAGTAGACAGCATGAAATCTATACCGTGACCTGCGAACTGCGGATCCGAGATGGCGGCTCCATACGGAACGTTGGTGTCCTGACCTTTTTTTTTTTTTTTTTTAACTCTTTCCTCCCTGTGGGCACTAAGAGGGCCTCTTTGAAGGCCCATTATGGGTTCGGCCAGACCCACAATGGGGCTGCCGGGTGGTGAGGGACGGGGCCCGACATATCCGAACGGACCACCCCCGAAAAATTCCTGGGGATTTTTCGACCCGTTCGGATTCGAACCCGGGTCCCCCAGAGCGGTAGGCTGCCACCTTGACCGCTCGGCCATCCGGCCGCATATTTAGGATTTAATTATTTCAGTCGAAGCGGTAGGCTGCCACCTTGACCGCTCGGCCATCCGGCCTGGTGTCCTACCTTATGTTTGTAGACCTTGGGTACGCTAAATTGGCGAGAGTCGCGTTACTATGTGTGTATTTTTAAAGGGGTTTTTGTGTCGTTTTTTACATATTTCAATTTTATTTTTTGAGATTTTTGTAACACCTAACTGTCGATTCGTCTTCAGATCGCCAGTTTTTACGAAGAAGCACGTNTATGAAGTATAATTTTTTTATTGTTTTTATATTTTTCAATAAATTTGTTTGTACAAAATAAAAAAATAATTTTTAACGATACAATAGTCTTCGTTAGGCTTAACATCGACGAAAATTCAACTCGAAGCGACATGCAACGGAGAGAAATTTCAACATGGGATAAATTAATATATTTTTTCGTACATGATTCGTTATCCGAAAAATAAGTTATCCGAACCACCCCAGTCCCCAATTGATTCGGATAAACGACGCTCTACTGTATTTCAGTTTTATTTTTTTGTAACGCACAATTATCGATTCGGCTTCAGATGGTCTATTTTTTTATATACAGTATATATATATATATATATAAAGAGACGAGGCTGAAATTGTCGGTTTTTACGACGAGGCGCGTGAATTTAGCAAGTGGGATGTGAAATTGTCAGACACAGAGTTGAGCAAAAGTTGTACATTTTTACATCATTTGTAGACTGCACTTTTTTGCGAAATGGAGAAACAAGATATTTGGCAAGAAAGTTGTTCCGCTTACATTAAATTCGTAACCGTAATAAAATTTTGAATAATTTTATATAAATATTGCTAACAAGCTGGATATTGAAATATATACTATATTTATTCATTTAACTTTCATTGTTTTCCAACAGTTTTATTTTAAAAAATCATGTCTAACTTTTCATTTCTTATCCATTTCTAACTTATCAGTTGAAGATATCACTTTTCTTTTTAAAGAATATTTTCTTTCTTTAGATTTCTAGCATCGATATAGATTCCAACAATGGAAACTGATGACTCATTTATGGAATTTTAGTGTTATAGATAAGCCAGTGGGACGATAAACTTTTTATAATGTTTTTAATTCAGTGCCAAAATAATATATACTTATAGTAGTTCAAGATGTTTTTATTATTGTACACATTCGACTTAAGTCATATTTAATATTAAAAGAAACTTGAAATTTAAAAAAAAAACTTGCAAATTAATACTGTAAAATCAGTTTACAATCTATCTGATATCTGAATCAACTACTTTGTCAGCTCTCATCAGCCATTTTATACGCAAATTTTATTCTTATAGGTTAATTATATTAATTATTAATAAATTGATATTATTTTTGTAAAAATTTAAGGTATTTAAAATAAATTTATTG